ATAACTAAAGCAGTAAAAATATACCATATTTAATGCAAATCAAACGTTTGTATCTAACTGTCCTAAAAGAATATGACTCGCTTAACGTGAACAGTTTATTATTATATTGAATACTAATATCTACTTATTTGAATATGCCCTTTATTTGAACGCAACACGCGTTAGTTGTATTATTTACGTGGCAATTATTAGTAACCGCATAAAGCTTTTATATTTTGAAACAAACTATTGTAACATAATTTAAATTACCTACGTTATTTGTTTATGTACAATTAATTATTAATGAATTTATAACTGTCCTTCAATAGATTGATTTATAACAGGTGTTATACCTATACCCTCACTTATAGAGCGCGAATGTCAGTATTATCACTGCGGCATCGATGTTGGAACTTAACTTAAACACGATTCAATTTGCTTAATAGCGAACGAATTATGTATGTCCGCTTCCGTTTCGTATCGCTGGTAACTTATCTTGATGGGCGCTAGGTGGCGACCCGAAGTCTGGATATCTAGAATATTCGCTACACTATGCATATACACAGTATGTTCTTACGCATTGAGCAAAGCAAATGCAATTAGCAATTAAAAACATTCGTTTATTATTGTCTAGGATTAGCAGCAGGTGCTTGAAATCCCTAAATATTTGCTGGTTCTTGATTGGGCTTACTCACACCTCATGCAACAAGCTAAGTTCGATGCGGTTAATTCTCTCACATACATTCAGTTTGTATTGTGCAATGTTACATGTAATGCAAAAATGGTCGATTAACATGTTCCGTCGGTTGGTATCTATTTGCAGATGCATACTAATATAATCACTTTGGTATTCGCTTGCCCAATTTGCGATTTTATACGCTTGATCCGTAATTGCGTCTATCTTCTTCACCAGTCTACGGTGGATTTCTAATTTTTAGCATGCTGCTTGCGGCCGTCATTGCAAGAGTTTCGTCTAGATCGCCAAAGCCTTCGCTTAAAGACACTTAATCTAAGACAAAAAATAATTATATATATACGGGGTGCTTGAAATATAAGTAATTAAATCAACGTCAAATGAACTAGAAAAAGTTCTCAATAAGAAGTAATAATTGTCAAGAATCGTTGAAACAAACAAATATGAACAATTGATATACCTAGTACAAAAAATACTGAATTCTTTTTCGCCTGGGGTGGCGGGTGATGAAAAATTTTCCGTGAATATAGCCAGACGTGATCCAACTCGTGCGCCACCAGCTTTTTATGATTATGATGAATGATGCCCTCTCGCAGGAAAGGAGACTTATCTTGAGCTTGGACGCGGTTCTTCGTGGGAGAACATGCTGCTGGAGATGGAAACTTTGTTTTTCAGCTCCCAAAATACCTACTCATTTGTCACAGCTCCCACTAACTGATGCGCGATGTTACTACCATTATCTGTGCATGAAATTTCTATGTTCCAAGGTAGCAATAACTGCACTGATCACTGTGTATAAGGTTGCTATTACCTACACTTATTAATTAGACTGCTTGTTCTACAAACTGACTTGATGTGGGCTTATGGTTCAAACTGTTTGCTTGCTTAGTAACTGTAAGACCTATACGACTATTATTTGTACTTTTTACCATATTGAATATTCACCGAATAACCACTAAATAAGAAATAGCATGGGTCCGTTACCCTGAAAAGTATAGCTTCTCTTTCTTCGAGCACTAGTAAATACCTACAGTGGTAAATTATAAAACAAATGCAATTAAAACTACTTACATGGTGTGAAATTGATTTAATTAAGTAATGTATTGCTTGCTTAGTTGTGTGATAATTGCAATGTGTACCTAGGTATTAAAATAGGTTTGGTAACACCATTATGTTCTGCTGCTTTCACATTCGCTTGACAGGTTTGGTATCAAGTTCTGTATGGAATTGTAAAATGTTAATTTTCTTATATTTAATGAATGTGGAATGTGGTGCTTTTGAACTTACAATGGATTGTATCATGTATCTCTTACTTGTTCGCTTCAGTGAATATCGATCATATTTCTTGTCTTGATACTTTTGAAAAATTGCTTATAATAAATTTACCTAGTGTACATAAATTTGGCTACAATTTTATGTTTTGGAAACGTATTTCAAAATTGATGAAAGGGAGGTGGGAGGGACAAAATTCAAAATTTAGAAAGTGTACTATCTCGCAACTACTGAAAAACATTACGAACATTAAGTCTCAAAAGTAGGCATTAATTTATTCAACATACATCTACTAAAGGCAAACTAACCCTAAAGATTATCATGAATTTCGAAATAGAAACTGGACGTCTTTTGTGCTATATCCGCACGCATGACTACGTAGATCTTAATTTTCTTGTTTTTAAAAACTACTAACAGGTAATGTTTTGTGTTGCATTAAATAGAGACGGCTGTACATGTCTGGTAGTCTTGATATGCTTAGTAATAATATAGTTACCTACTTGTTCTACTTTGCACTTTCTCAACTCGTGCTGATAGTCATCATTTTTGCACTACCTCCTAGTCATCTTCTGGTTGACAGATTTCATAATATGTTTACATAAAAACTTGTCGTGAATTTAATTATATCGTGATTTAATATGTACAAAGAGGTCACCAAGAAGAGGGCATCCGAATGTGACCCTGTTAAATTAAAACACTCGTGCACTGGACGTCCCTTAACATAGGAAAAAACCTGGCTAACTCAAAGTTAAAGTTTCCCAAAAATATGCAATAAATCGAAATCTTGTTGACTAATTGAAAACGGAGCTTTTCTTTAAAATTTAAACTACTTAAATTAATAGATACAAAATGAGTTATTGAACAGTAGGTAAATTGAAATCATTACGATTGAAAAACCAGAGTAACGAAATTTTTACAATACCTCTATTCGTCTTCTATTGACGTTGCTTCGATCCTCATAGAAATTGTCTTGATTCAAGATTTCCCTACGTCGCCGTCGAAGGTCGTATTCGTGGTATATGAAGTTGACAGGAATCAACAATGGTCCGAAATATGTAAATAGAGTTGTCTTGCGTTCTGACCAGATTTCCTTAGCGGATTTATACGGTTTCCTGATGTGAAGGTGTGTCTTTGTTGTTAATGGATTAATTAGTGCCGCTTAGATTACGTAATGCACGCGTAAAATATTTTATTTCGTGCGAGTATAGCTTTTCTATGTTTAGTTAGCGTAATTGTAAAGGAAATTAATTTTGTGTTGCTCAAAACTGCAAGAGAAAACCACTCACATGAAGCTAGTACGAGGTTACGAATTACAAAATGCGAATTAGAAAATCTGCTACTGTAATGAACGTAGTTTTCTTTGACGCCTGAATTTTATTTAGGAACCCCGTCTTTCATCTAGTCACAAAAAATGTATAGTACCGGTTGAAATTCTAATTTTGATTAATACACACACAACACCCCTAAGCGTCTTTGAGGTTGGAGCTATCCGCTTGAGATTAATTTTCTTAAAATGTTCTCTTCACTTAATCTGCCGCAATGATTTCACTAACATTTACTTTCTTTAAAAAGTTTAGTTCGATCCTTTCGCAATTAAAATTTCCGCAAAAGTCCTTACTGTAAGGAGAGTGATGCTCGAACTACCTGCTTAAGCTGTAGCTGCTAATCTAAAACGGAACCACCGCAATTTTCGCGACCAGCGTCCCCTTTTCACCAATCGCAAGCCCAATTCTTATCCAATCTGTGGCCGCAGCGCTACATAAAAGGGAATCAACTAAACTGGATGGTTCATGCTATCTCTGCTCAAAACTCACGCATTCGAAACGCGCTTCGTTGTCTCGTCGTTAAACCTACTCGCGCTCACTCTTCATATGAAGCGGTACACATGACCCTTTACACATATACAATATCACCCAAAACTTTTTCTTAACACGAAACTGACAAGGACAATATTCTACCCTTTACATCTTACATGAATCTATTTCACAAAGCTATTTAGGTACCCTAAGACATTTAATATCTAAATCTAACTTGGGAAAAAATTCCCCTAACTCGCATTAACTCACTAAATCAGTTTAAATTCGCGCCTACACCGGACTGTGCCTTATTTTAATATTACTGATTCTGCATCAAGAAGCTGTACCTAGGGATTTTAGGATGTTACACTCATTAGCTTGAAGCGATGCTGTTTGAAGGACAAATAAAAGTTGTTAATTCTACCACAGGAATAATTGGGATCAAATAAAAACTACATGACAAATAATGTTTCGCGTAGGTACAGAAGGTGAATTCATAAGCAGAGAATATTTTTTTATTTATCTATGCAATTAGTGTGTTTTGCTTGATTATTATTAGCGTGTATAGGATAACCATTTTGAAAACAATAGATTGGCTGCTTCTTTGACCTAGTGAGTCGGCTTATGTATGACGTTGTAATAATGCCCTATAGTGATTTTGATTATATGTGTATACTTTGCTTAAGCTATCTACTTTTGACTACAATTTCGTTTTGGAAACTTATTTCAAAATTGATGAAAGGGAGGCGGGAGGGACAAAATTCAAAATTTAAAATTGTTGTCCATATTTATGGAAAATATACTTTTTAAGTATAAACTTCGTTAACAAACCATAGTGATGCTGTACAGTCGTTACTGTGAAAGCTTAAAGTTAGAAAAAATGGACAATCTGAGCATCACTTTTCAAAAATAGAAAAAAAGCATATTTTTTAAGAAAAGGCGAGTGTTTTGTTTTTTAAAACGTACAATTGTAATTCACAAGACCCCTGGATCTTTATTTTCTTGTTTTAGGTAGATTTCTATCTACCTATTGCAATAGTACCAGTATATTTATATGTTTATTATATTTCGACATCCAATCCGAAGACATTGTATAGAATACCATGTAGTTCGCTTGCTCGAACTCATATCACGAGTATTTAAAGAAAGGTTTCACAAAAAGGAAACAAAAATAGAAGTTCGACCCTGCCGCCGAGCCGCCACTGAGTTAACCTTGCGTTTCGTTCCTCGCGCCAGGCGTCAGGTGATTCATTCTTCGCTTTCTCGTGCTCGTGTTCACATTCACATCGTTGTCTTGCGTTTTTCGACGATTTTGGTATCTGAGTATAACTAAATGATTTTATTTTAGCGGTTTTTATTAACCATAGGTATTATTTTTAGGCTTGTGCATGTTTTTGGCGTTGTCGACCATAGGCCTTTTTCGCCCGTATGTATTTTTTTACTACACATGGGCAAGTCCAACAAGCGGCATCGCTCTAGGAGCAGGGGGACGTCAAAAAGCGACCTACGAAAACGCCTTCGTAGGCTTGAGAGACTTTTAGAGGATAAGGAAAATGTGGACGGCGGCCATGACAGGCAGTCTCGGCCTCCTTTTCGTGCTATTAATAGAAGATCGGATTCCCGGTCTAAACGCGACTGCTCTGATTGCAGTTACAGCAGCGTTGAAAGCTTAAGCATTGCTGATGTTCCATCAACAAGTAGGCATCTTAGACGAAGACGTTCTTTGTCTGCTGAGGCTTCGTTAAGCCTTTCGCCTGCTCCTTCTTTAAGGGCAGGTGACAAATCCCAGACTTCTTTAAGTCTTTCTCCTCACTGTGAGGCTGAGGACCTACACGGAGCGGATGGTAGACCAAAGCCTAGAGCTCCTTTGAACTCGACTAACGGCCCTGAGACCGAATTGGAAGAAAATGTACTCATCATCGACGACGGCTCTTTAGCCCTTGATGATTTTGGAGACGTTTTAGGAAATGATTGCCCTAGTACTCCAGTTAAGGCGGACTGTTTACATGAGGCACTTTCCTCAAGGTGGAACTACATTGTAACAAATGGCCTTTCGCAGGAAAATTTACTTTCCTTAACTCAACGTTATGCAGTCCCGGAGAACTGTCCGACACTTAACTCACCTAAGCTAAATCCCGAAGTTTTAGCAATTTTGGCCAACGATCGGGTGGCTCGGGACAATTTTAATAAAAGTATCCAAACGAAACTCGCAACGGTTTTGGGAGCTATGGGAAAGTCTTTGACAGCTTTGCTGAATGACAATCCTATTCCAAAAAAGTTACGTGATGAAATTGTAGCCCCTTTGGGTGATGCTAGTCGTTTACTGGCGCACACCTTTCACGACATCTCTGACTCTAGGCGTAATTTGATTTTACCAACCCTTAACAAAAACATTAGGGAGGTTCTAGGGAGAACTAAACCAGGAGATTTCCTTTTTGGATCAGATGTTTCAGAGAGCGTCAGGGAAGCTAAGTCTCTACAGAACGCAGGAAAGGAATTAAAGGCGGCTACTCCTTTGCAATTCTCAGCTTCATACAGAGGTGGTAGGAACTCTGGGCGAATTCGTTTGAAGCCTGTGTTCACATCAGCGAAAGACCAGCGTTCTTTAAACCGTTACGGCCCGACTCGTCAAAAGGGACAGTCGAGATCATTCCGAGGCCAGCAGTCCCATCAGAAGCAGGGGAAATACAGACGATAGAGCAGGTAAGCCCAATTGGTGGTAGGCTCTCACTTTTCTATGACAAATGGTGTTTGATTACTTCAAATCCCGTAATACTGAAATGGATTAAAGGCTATGCCTTGCCATTTTGTAGTTCACCTAGTCTAGAGCAAGTACCCCCAACAAAGACCTGGACGACTAAAGACACTGCTATGCATGAGGCAATTAAGTCTTTACTCAATTTAAATGCGATAAGCAAGTGCAGTCCTTGTCCAGGGCATTTTATTTCTAATATCTTTTTGGCTGATAAATCTGATGGCGGTAAACGATTCATACTTAATTTAAAACATCTTAATTCCTTTTTACAAACATCTCATTTTAAAATGGAAGACATTCGAACGGCCTTAAGGCTTGTCAAAAAAGGGTGTTGGTTCACAACTATTGATATTAAAGATGCCTACTTCCATATAGCCATTGACCCAAAATTTAGAAAGTTCTTGAGGTTTCAATTTAATCACGATCTGTATGAATTTGCATGTTTGCCTTTTGGGTTGGCTTCAGCCCCTTATGTGTTCACAAAACTAATGAGACCTGTTACACAATGGCTTCGATCTAAAAACATTATTTGTGTGTGTTATCTGGATGACTTTCTGTTATTCAATTCTTCGTATGAAGGCTCCTTACATGACACTAAGGTAACCGTAAATTTTTTGAAGTCCTTAGGGTTTTCTATAAACGTTAAGAAAAGTCATTTGAACCCCAGTCAAACCATTAGATTTCTGGGGTTTTTATTAGACTCAGAACTATTGAAAATTTCTTTACCTGCAGAAAAGAGGGAAAAAATAAAGATTTGGAGTAAAACTCTC